CTCTGCTCCAGCACCACCTCCCTCTGCTCCAGCACCACCTCCCTCTGCTCCAGCACCACCTCCCTCTGCTCCAGCACCACCTCCCTCTGCTCCAGCACCACCCCCCTCTGCTCCAGCAACACCTCCCTCTGATCCAGCACCACCTCCCTCAGCTCCAGCACCACCTCCCTCTGCTCCAGCACCACCTCCCTTTGCTCCAGCAACACCTCCCTTTGCTCCAGCACCACCTCCCTCTGCTCCAGCACCACCTCCCTCTGCTCCAGCACCACCTCCCTCTGCTCCATCACCACCTCCCTCTGCTCCAGCAACACCTCCCTCTGCTCCATCACCACCTCCCTCTGCTCCAGCACCACCTCCCTCTGCTCCAGCAACACCTCCCTCTGCTCCATCACCACCTCCCTCTGCTCCAGCAACACCTCCCTCTGCTCCATCACCACTTCCCTCTGCTCCAGCACCACCTCCCTCTGCTCCAGCACCACCTACTTCTGCTCTGCCTATAACCCCTCTTCAGTCTGCTACACAATCTCTGGCAGAGAAATGTAAGTTTTCTTTTAAATTCGTATAAATATAAATCAAAGCACATAAATTTGATTTTGGATTATCAAACATATGTGTGTCTCACAAAAACTGTCTGTACTGACAGGCTTTTGTCTTGTTTTAATGAAAGTAATGCTGCTCTAACAGTTGCATTGAATGTCCATTAAAAGTACCAACTTTGTATTAAATTGTCATTATTTACAAAATCGTGCAAAGTTGGCACTTATAATGGACTTTCAATGCAACTTTTGGAGCAACTTTGTATTAAAAGTGTCATTATTTACCGAATGACACTTAATGACAACTGTCATAAACATTCATAAAGATTTCTTGACAGATGTTATGTCATGTTTATGACAGTGTCATGCCAGTCTTATGCACGCACACCCCTTCAAATAAAGTGTTACCAAATATTTTGTCAAATTAAATGAATAGGTGTCATGATAATGATACCAGTCTTTTACTTTTGTTTTCTTTGCCACTACTCCTCATCCCATCCTGATCATCAGATGTGCATGATGCTTTTGAAGGAAAAAACGTCTATGTCCTTCTGTCAAAAGTGAATGGATATAAGTTGTTTTACTGGGACATTAATAAAATCGATCCTGACATGGAACTGGAGAGTCAGGTGGGTACAVTGATTATATTATTTTTGAAATATCCCAGCTGTTACAGTATTTAACTAATCTTTTTTTTCCTTCTTAAAAATTTGCAGTCAATTAATGCATTTATGGCTGTCATTGTGAAGGATTACAACAGCAAGAACACAGGACAGGCTGCGTTCATAGATTCATTTGAAATGACAGCAATGTGGGAGGGAAAAAGTCCTAGATTATAGGTTGCTCTTACACATTCCGCTGTGTTTTTCTGTGTTAGTCTTACATGTGTTGTTAGGATTTTTAAATCGATTAAAATAAACTATGTTTATGGTTATGTGTTTTTACAGATTTGTCATTATCACCTACAAAAAATATTATTTTAGTGCAATGTGTGTTGCTAAAAATGTTTTCTTCTTCATATGAAAAATATTTATATTTTTAATTATCAGAAGATGAACCCAAATAATTATGAAATAATTCTGGGAATCAACAATCAACACCACCACTGGACTTTAGTGGTAATAAAAGTTTCTAAAACTTTAAAAACAACCTACATCATTCTTATATCATGGACACAAATCACATGAAACCTGTCAAATGCTAACTTTATAGGTGATCTACCCACAAGAGAAAAAGTCTTTGTTCTTGAATCCACTGGAGGAATCAAAACAAGAGATCCAGAAATGTTTGCAAATCACAAGGTATGGTAGAAAATTTAAGTCTAACTCAAGTATGAAATTCATGTAAAGTTGTTCTCATTAACATATCTGTATTTACAGAGCATTTATGAGGAAGAAGGTGTACAATGTCTCTCGTTGGACATGTGACACAGTGAAGCATCAAAACAACAGGACAGTACATCATGTGGTGTATTTTCACTGAAGGTGCAGACATGTTGTCACACAGTGTATGCCTTTAGAATTTTGATACATGTACAGTCACTTTCTTTGCTAACTAAACTTAGAACCATAAAATGAAGCTGTATATTTCAGTTTGCAGAAAAAATCGTAGCGGTCTACAGCATGAGGTTGGACATTGCTGTGAGACTTGTCCTTGCCAGTGGTAATTATAACATTAATATTCTTATTTTGAG